ATGTGTCGTCTAAGACCATCGGAAAACACATATATAATTACATATTGTTTTTGTGATTAATCACTATGCTTTAATTATGTTCAATTTGTAACAATGAAAATATATCCTACATATCAGATATTTACATTACGACTCATAACAGTAGCAAAATTACAGTTATGAAGTAGCAACGAAAATAATTTTATGGTTGGGGCTCACCACAACATGAGGAACTGTATTAAAGGATCACCGCATTAGGAAGGTTGAGAACCACTGGTCTAAATGGTAAGTTTTCATGTTATGTGTATTTATTGCAATAAAGGAAAAAACAAAACAAAAAATAGATTATTGCTGTGGTATTTCTGCGTAAAGTTCACAGCCTCAACCTAATCATAAGAAAACATCAAGAGAACCAAAGTTGAGAAATATTTTTTCCAAGTAATTGACCAGTACTCACCAAGAATGTCAAGGTCATGAAAGACAAAGACTGAGAACTGTCACAATTTGAAGAAAATTAAGGAATACAACAACTAAATGGAGTACAGGATCCTGATTTGGAACTTGGAACAGAAAAGGACAAAAGAATAAGGTCTGCAGTTTAGTTAATAGCATTGTGCCAATGTTATAATTTCCTGGTTTTTGACCATTGTACTGTGATTACGTATGATGTTAACATTAGGGAAGCTTAGTTATAAAGTATAAGGGAAACTTGCTAGTGTTTTTTCAACTTTAAGTCTAAAACTGTTCCAAAATCTTTTTAAAAGTTAAAAATACAAACAAACTTTTATTGAACATCAGCTGTGAGCCATGTACTCACGTATTCCATTTTTACCGATGAAGAAACTAAGGTTCAGGAAAGTGCATTGCCCAAGCCAGTAAGTGTAATAATAGTAAACCACTGGACACTTTCGCTTGTGATCTAGTTGGTCCTTACCACAACGCTCTGAGGTAGATATTATTGTCCCTATTTTAGAGATGTGAAACTGGAGGTTGACGAGTGAGGTGCCCAAAGTGACATGAAGGCTAGGGACAGAGCTCAGATTCAAAACCGGATCGGACTCCTACAGCCACAACACTCCCCACGGCCCCAGCACCGCCCTTTGTAAGCCTCGTGGTGGTCCTTCATGTATCCCACTGTCTTCTCCTTCCCGTCTGAGCTGGACAGGAAGTCCTTGGAGACAGCTCTTATGGTTTTCATTCCCCCACTTAATGCAACCCTGAACGCCCCATTTCATGGTTTTCCTCAGTAATCTGAGAGACGGTCTGTCTACGCTTTAACTCCCCTCCCCAAATCATTTCAGTCCACCTGTCATTTGTAGTGACTTAGCGTTTACATATTAATTAGTCATCAGATTTTTAGACACAGGTAATGATACACCCCACACCCTCTCTCTTGTATGTTTTCTGGAAGTAGTTGGGCTACATTCCCAGCTGTTGAAACCTATAAACTGCCAGAGTTTCCTTCATCTCCAGGTTAGAGCATGAGTCATTCCATAAACCCTGAGATTGGGGACCATGTGCCAGGCACTGTACATTAGGCCCTAGGTGCATAATCATATACAAAGGAAGATAATTACGTTCTCACAATGCCAAGAACTGGAGGGGAGTCACTGGAGAGTCCTGGGTCTCTTCTCCTCCACCCCCAGGAAGCATAAAGGTGCCAGACAAGGGACAGATATAACAGCCTTCTCCAACCATCCAACTCAGGCTGCTGCCAGATCTGTAGGGTTTCCTCTCCATCTGTGACATGCACAGACCTTCCACCCGATGCAGCACAAATCAGAATGTATCCGTACAAACTCAGCAAAAGCTCTCAAAAAGCCTCACTGGCCTCACATGAAAGTTCAGTGAGGGCTTGTGCTATCAGAAGTCACCTGGGGTGACAATCATGATTCCCTTTGAGTTAAGTAGCTTGGAAACCACCTCCTCCCACCCCCATTGAGTTACACAAAGGCACATTCAAACGCACACGGCAGTATAAATGCATTGGGACAGATAATCACCCTATAAATCATAATACAAATACCTTGAGTTTGTGAAATACTTCACAGTTTGCAAGAGTCTTATACTGATAGTCCTTCCTTTAATTCTGACAACAGTGCTGTGAAGTGCGGGGACAGGCCACACTGGCCTCCTCACACAGAGGCAAGCATCGGAGGTCACAGAGCCAGTCCATGGCAGAAGTGCTCTAGAATCGCTGGTTTCCCAGCCTGTAATTCTCTCTGTCCCACCACGATAGTAATAACTCCCACTATGGTCTCTATCTTCTGAGGAAACCAAAGTTGGGCTAACAAATACTATAGGGAATATTTGAACTCAGGTGAGTCCCTGAATGCCACCTTTTAACTCAGCTGCACTCAATTTACTCCTGTTCCATCCAGTCCCTCCCTCATTGGCACTGGGTCCCTGGTACATACAAGGGGCTGCACAGCCAGGCCACAAGCTGGCCAGAGCCAGGCTCTCAATGCAAGGTAGGGCCGGTCTTGCATCCTGGATTCCACACCCATAATTAGGGGATGTGTTACTTTGCTGTTGCGCTGTGAAAATTATCACAAATTTTGTGGCTTAAGACAACAGAAATTTATTGTCGCACAGTTCTAGAGGCCAGAAGTCCAAGGTCACGGTGTCAGCAGGGCCTGCTCCCTCTGAAGGCTCTAGGGGACGATCCTTCCTTGTCTCTCAC